TACCCTCCGGCCCAACCCCGCCAATAAAAGAATAGAGTAAGGGAGGGGGGGAAGGGGGAGGGGAGGGGTCTCCGAGAGAAAATTTGATGAGGAATGGTGAAGGCGTAATCTTTTTTTGTTCCCTCTCCAGTAGATCATCCCACTCCACCAGCCCGCAATAATACTCGTATAACACAGTTTACTCATTACTAACATGAGAAAAAAAAATCAAAATTAATTTTATTCATTTTGAAAGTTAATATTTTTAGAATAAATGAATAATATTTTAACATTGGTGTTCCCATAAAATTTTATGTAGGAGTGATAATTTGAAAATAAATTGGATATTCAGATATTACACTAGCCTTTACTTACTATAAAAGATTAATGATGTACACTCAAGTTTAATGCATATGGATTTACTGAACATATGAATACGCTAATACATAATTGACCCCATGGCCGAGTATCAAACCAAACCAATAGAATGTTATACTTTATTTTTCAAAATTCCAATGAAGGGCAATCACGAAGGTGGTATTAGAATTATGAATTAAATTTTAAACTTGAGGAGTAAGAAAAGAAATACTAAAATAAAGTAATACTTTAGATTAGTGAAAAATCACCATATTTCGGGTACTTTCTCGACGTCTCTACTTGCTTTGAAAACATTCAGATATATTGATAAGTACACTTAAAAGTCTTCAATATATGTTGGGCATGCAGATTCATTCAGGCCATATGGAGCATGGACCATAATCCTCATTAATAGAGAACATGGTGACTCTCTGATAGTGAACATGGTGATAGTGAAGATAATGACTCATCGTTAGTGGCTTGGTGAATCTGAAACTCCATGACGCAGAGATTTTCCTCATATTAACGCTTGCGAACTAAGACAAGATATGTATATAACGATTTAATACTTGAAATACGTACAAAAATCATTTGTAGGATTTTAATCAATTAGATTCAGCAAAATATTGTTTTGTTTTTCAATACGTTATTCGCCTAAAATCGGCAATAACATTTAAAGTTTTATATAATAATTTTCTTTATGATTAAAAATACGAAGTTTCAACCAATGGTATCATGAAAGGTCCAGCAATTATTTTAATGCACAGTGCTTAAAATAAAAAAAATGCACATTCTCTGAAATCAAATAATACTCGAAAATTATGCTTAGTTATAGACAGCGGATTATTTTTGTTCTTAGATTTTGATTAAGGTTATTAGGTGAATTTTTAAAATATAAGTCGCTAAAGGGCTCCAGAAATCCTGGAAACTAATTTCAGTTTTAATCTTCAGTAATGAAAGATCAGCGCTGTCGCTTAATTAGCAGCAGTGACGCGGTTGAGAGAGTAACGCAGGGATCTCCTGGAGTCCTAATTTTCCCTGTACAGTTGAAGGCGCATTCCTGACTTGGAGTTGCTTTGCCAGATTGCTAATAGCTCATACTGGTATGACTGTTGTGTTTTTTTTTACTTAAAGTTATTTTATTGTACATAGTTTTTCATTATTATTTAGTTATTATTTTGCTTTTGTTAATTTTATATGTTCTGTATGTATATTGTGAATGTGTTCATATAACACTATAATTATTTTCCACGTGACAATAATTACTTTCACTTATTTATTTTGGTTTATTGTATATACTTTTAGATTATTAGATAATGTTAATGTAGTCTTGCCCCACTTTAACTATTATACTTGTGACAGAATGTTATATTACTCAATAAATAAATAAAAGTTAAAGATTAAAACTAATGTAAAATCTTTTGAAATAGTTCAATGTTTTGTTCCTTAGCTGGCTAGTCGAAGAACAAATAGGCTAAGAACAAATCTTTTTATTTATTTTTTATTTTATTGGGTATTAATACAGTCTTCCATTCAATGGCTATAGTATTCATTTACACATTATGTACATAAGAAAGGAAAATAAATAAAAATAAATATGTTCTTAATTGTGACAAATTGTAATATTTCTTAATAATAATATTAAGAAAAAAATATATAAATAAAAAGATAAACTAATATACAAGATAAGTAAAATAACAGATTAAAGCCGAATAATAATAAAATAAATAAAACACATTCACACTTAAGTACAATATTTACATTGGCCCATGGGACTCTGAATCAAGATTTGTCCCCCAAATGTGGAAGCCAAAGCAGGACTCCAGGAGATCCCAGTACTTTTCTTCCAGCCGCGTTACTGGTATTGTAAGCCAGTGGAGACTGATGGAGGGCACGAGAGCAACAGACGTTGTAACAAATTATGTACCTCATATTTAATGCACCTTAAAATTCAATTACATGCATAAGTAAACTCATATTTACGTAGATATGAACATTAATCAAACAAGTTTCAGATTTTTTTAAGACATAGAGAGTATACAATACTTCAATTATTTGTTCGTCTTATTTCTTGTTGAAACGGAATCCTATTCTGAAAAGTTTTTCAATTTAATGTCGTAATTTCTTTACTCTAAGGTAGTTAAAAAGGTAAATAAGAGGGATTTTTTTTGTCTTGATTTACGAATAGCTGTGACTTACTGTAGTACTATAATATTACATTAGTTCTATTATATTACATCAGTCCGTTAGTGTTTGCCTTAGACAAATCTCCATCAATCTTGATGTTGCTAGATTGATTCCTACCCTCTTGTATATTTTTGTAGAGTATGTAATTGTCAGTGAAACCATATATTTGTTATTTCGCCCCAATCGTGAAATATGAGGTGTGAGTAATTATTGTACCTTCAGCGAATGCTATCAGCTCGGAATTTGATTTATCGCCTTCTCCAACTTGTGTTACAAGGCAAAGGAAATAAATTAGTTGGCGGAGATTATGGCTCGAATGTAATGGGTTTGCTTTGGACCGGTCCTAAATCAGTCCAATATCGATAATGCACTCGTGTTTGTGTTGGCAAAGTTGCCGCTTGTATTGTTAGGTCCGTGTCAACAAACTCCCTAACAGCAGCTATTAACTTATCAGAAAACCAATAAGCTCTTACGAACTAGGTGATTTTTGTAAAAGCCGCCTTCAAACCTTTTGTGAAACGACTGTTTTGACAAATGTATGAGAACTCCTTTTTAAAGAGCATAAAAAAAAAAATCAATGCTCTGTCAACTCTAGTTTGAGACGGTTACTATATAACTTCGTATATCCATGAATTAATGAAAAAAAAAAACAACAACTTAATTTTGGTGCCACCGTCCCTTAAGGATGTTGTCGGAGTAAAGAAATCAAATACGTTAGTCATACATGAAGAAATACTTGTTAATTAACTGTTAGTAGCAATTTTAATTACAGAAAAAAGTAATTCTTATTGAGTTGCACAAGGAATTTGTGGGTAAGGATTGACATATGGTGACAGGCCAGGTGTTTCAAAAGGAGTTAGCATGAATAAGGAAGGATTTGTTAAAGAAAAGTATATGGAAGGAGATGCATAGATCAATGAAACCTAGTATTTTGATGGTGGATAAAGTTACGTAGAGGAATGAGTTATAGGATGGAATTTTTTTTTTTTTTGGTTCTGAGGACTTGGAAAAGGAATACGCCAAGGATGAATATCCGACCTATCCCTTGAACTTGGTGTACCAGCGCGAAATACGAGAACGCCAGGAAATCCCCAAGATGAATATTATGAAGCTATCCATGATTCTACCTTCCATATACAAAACACCTTAGTAGAAGTGAAGAAAAAACAAGAGAGGATACAATAAGCTATCAGGACATTTAAAAAATATAATCTAGGAAGCTTTAACGACTGTTATGGATTTTCAAATGATCTGGGAGACTTAGTTATTCTAGAAGGGGTTTTGAATAGTTACTCCTAGATTTATGACTATCGAGAGAAAAAGAATGGATCTGTTATTGAGATAAAGTAGAGTGAGAAAAGGAACTAGCAAGGTGTTTATTAACGATGAGAATAGCCTTGGATTTTTCTGCAATCAGGTCCAATTCATTTATTCCTATTGACACGGCCGATGTTCGTTTAAAGCTTTCGAGTAGCCTCAAGAATCTAGGGAGATTAGAACGTTTAGTAGATTTGGAAATCATCATCAGGTAATAATATACTGTATTGCAGTAAATAATATTTATTTTTCCATTGCCTCTATCTTGCAGGGTTATTGACAACACCTTTTATTTATACTTGTAGAAATTTATTCCTTTTAAAAAATGTGAATGTTTTTTAGCAGCTATTTCACTTTCATTCACGATTTCTTTTAGGCTTTTTGCCATGTCCAACTTTTTCCAAAAAGTTTCAAATATACGACGGTCTTGTACGATATGTATCACTGCCCATTGGACATTGCAGCTCTCGGATGTCGGAGAATCAAGTAATATACGGTAGATGAAGTGATCAATGGAGTCGGGATGGTCTCTATTATCAATAGAGAAAATGGTCAGAGTGAGTGAAGAACCTTGAGTAACTCCTTGTGTTAACTAATGGGGTGATGAAGGAGATTTATTAGAAATGAAAATTTTCTGGGAGCGATGAGATAAGAAAGAGAAGAGCCATTTTAAACGTTGTTGGAAATGGGCAGGTTTTTGAGTTTGGTGAGGAGAAACTTGATTGACAATCAAAAGCTTTTGAGAAGACTAAAGGAATGAATGTGTCTTAAATTATTTTTGTAACGTAACTTCTACTTTTGATAATTATTTTCCTGAATAAACCCGTTCGATTCAGGGTTATCTTAGGAATCTTCAGGTTTATTCAATTATGTCTTGTGTTCTATATTGCAACCAAATTTAAGTAGTCCCTCTAATCAACTTGTAACGTATTGAATTTCATTAGATATTTTTAAATTTTATCGTTATACAAAAATTCTTTAAACGTTATTAAAGCATAAATTATTCGTTCTAAAATAAGGAAAAAAACACTGCTATTTAAAAGAGATAACCGGTTCCTTTTGCCTGAGAAGACAATTTTCTATCCGGTTGATCCCGCGCTGCTTATAAATAAATCTCAAAGGCCGTTTTGCTGTCTAAATAGATCAAAGTAATTCCTTACTTGATCAAAGCTCCTAGACTTGGAGCTTGCCTTTGAAGTAGGCTAACCAGGCTGACTGCTCTACGCTGCAAACGTTTCTCATGTAAATATCGATACCGTTTCGCTGGAAACGAGCGAGCAATCGACATTTTGTCATTCAAATAGGTTAAACTTTAATGCAGAAGTTGTTTAATGTCTAATGCCAAAGAATAGATCTTCGCATTCTAGACATGTGCTCTAAGTAAAGAAGAATTTTAGGTAATTAAGAAATATGCAAAAGTCTTCGAATAAACTAAATGATTATAAAAATGATAAATGTTTCAAGTTTAAAGTGTTTTTATCTTCTTATTGTAAACTGATTTAACCTAACAGACATTTTAGATGTAATATATATTTAAATTAGCATTATTTTCAATTAACAATTAGCCAAGAAACCAATCCGGTGTGTTGATGTTTCAGTGTCTTTTGAATAATGCTATCTTATTTTTCATATTTCACTACTTATATATATATATCTACATGTATATCCACTTCAGGCTTTATTCTATATTTTTAACACCAAAAATTGTTGTATATTGCTTGTTGTTAATTGAAAATAATACTAATTTAAATATCTAAATACCTACCGCAACACAATGACACACTACTGGCTAATTTTGCTGACGAAAACATAATCCTCAGCTCAGATAAAAATTCTGTTCGAGCATCCAATACTCTTCAAAACCACTTGAACGATATTGCTGAATGAGCATCAAGCTGAAAAATTAAAATGATTGAAAAACAATGTAGTATTCACTCTTAATCACACTCCTTTCCCTGAAATATATTTTAATAACATTGAAATCCTTTCATGTTATGTAATTGAATATTTGAGTTTTATCTCGAAAAAACACTAACTTGGAGAACTAACGTTAGGCAAAAACGTATGGAATGAAACAAACGATACGGTATTTCATCTATATTACTTGACAGACGTTCAAAATTATCTTTGATTAACAAACTAACTCTCTAGTTTTACTTACACCAATTTGGATTTATGGTATAGAACTAAGGAGTTCTGCTAAAACTTCCAATATTAAAAAAATCCAGTCTTTCCAATTCAAAATTTTACGAAGAATAACTGACGAACCCTTTTATGTCGTAAACGGTATATTACATGAAGACTTGAACATCCCAACGATTTTAGACACCCCAAAAGAAAACTATAATAACTTCACCAAAGACTAACTTACAACATAAATACTCTGGTAGAAAACCGCGCTAGAAACTCGTACAGCCCATCTCGACGATTACGTAGGCGGTAGCTAAGAGACCTGCTGAACTGATCTCTTTCCTGGATATGTGATGGAACGCTGTAAAACTGCCAAAAATTTGCTCATTGCAAAGAAATTTGCAGATCGCAAATTTAATTTTGTGTTTATGTATTAATAATAAAACAAATTTAAACATATATTACATCTTACTGTTAAGTCAGTTTACGATTAAAAAGATAAAAACACTTTTAAATTGAAAAACAATTATCATTTTTATAAACATTTGGCTTTTTCAAAGAGTTATTTACACCATTGTTATATGTTATATGTTTATTACTTTTGTTACTAATGCTTATTATTCATTATTTCTTTATTTTTCAGGTGAGTGTTTCGTTTCTTTTATCTGCAGAACTAAAGTAAGTTCAAAAATCACATTTGATTTATATAATTAGGAGGTAGGGTAGCTCAACGGGTAAGTTCCCGTTCCAAAGCCGGAGGTTCCAGGTTCGATTCCGGCTGATGAGAAGTAATGTTTCATCAGCCGTGAATCGACCCTGGGGCCAGGAGAACCTCCTTGGGCTCACCCAGCCTCTATAAAGTGAGTAATCTTAGTTATATCATTAATTAAAGGGAGAAACCTGGCGGTTGAGCGTGGTCTCGGCACAATCACCTCTCTGCACAACCATTGGCCTTGTAACAGTACTTCCTCACATTGTACTGAATCCAAGACCCTTCACGGGTTGTAAAAAAATTTATATAATTATTTGGAAAACAATTTTTTTCTCTATATAACAATTTGTGGATTGGATCAGAAGTTGAGGAAAAATGCATTGCCTATGATGGGAGATATAATGGTGATTAGGAGTTGATACTGACCATATCTTTTGATAAACGTTAGTTTAGAAAACAGTATGTCAGCAACGATTTTAATTTTAGAGACTTTTTTTTTTTCAAGTTCTAGTTTAATTATAGTGTTATACAGGGCGTACCGTAAGCAGATGGAAATATTTAAAAGTTTGATAGTAGACATCAAGATCTACAAAAAGGTTTATGAAAATAATTGCCCAATTTCCAGCAGAAAAGTAGGAATTATATGATGAAGTTAGTTGACTGTTCTACATATCATGAGTGATAAATATTCAGGACGCACTCATTATAGTTTTTATTAATGCCGACGTATCAACCCAAACATATGTGTCATCATCAGGGCGTGTTTCGAGCACTGAAGGTATTCAAGTACCCATTACCTCATTCAGTACTTTAATAACTTCAGTGCTCGAAACTCGCCCTGATTATGAACCAACTGTTTTGGTTGAAACGTCGGAGTTAATAAAAACTTTATAATGACTGCGTCCTGAATATTTATCACCCAAGAAAAGTAGGAAATTTAATATTTGTGTTTAGTTATGCGGGTCAAGTTTTTTTTTTATAGGAAGCGATAACTAAAAAAATATTTGATTTAAGTAATTAAACATTGCTCCATAGTAAAATAGATTGAGCGGACAAACTGAGTTAAGTTTCATTAAAAAAAAAAGACATAAATTCTTTATGATTTTTTTTTTATCATCTTCTAACTGTACTGCAGTTATCTAACTTTAAGAAAAAAAAATCGGCGTCTAATAAGCTGTAAGTCCATATTAATCAAGTTGAGAAATGCATTTTAATAAAATAATTGTCTAAAATCTAGTTTGTCACTAATAAATACAGAACAATTCCTATGAAAGAGATCTGGGATAAAAACGCAGTCCCATTTTCACTTTACATAAAAAACATTTGAAAATCTTTTTTATTATGGATAAAATTTGATTTTAGGCAGTTATGTATATTAAAATACATCTTATAACACAGAAAACAAGAAATAAAAGCTTTGGAACAGTTAATTGTAGTATGTTTTACTGAAAACTCAGGTAATTTTAGGTGTCTGGATAGAATATCACATCATTTCTTTACACAATTTGTGGTGAATCTCAAAATTTTCTTAAATAAACCTCAACTTAATTAATACGAGCATAAAGCTTGTCAAATGAAGAAGTTTTTGTTAAAGTGTGGTAACAGTAGTATAATTGAATGATTATAAAAAAAAAAATGCGAATAATAACAGAACTTGGTTTAGTATAGTCGCTCAAAAGTACTCTGTAAATGATTTCAACAATGATAAACTCTATGTTCATTTAAAGAAAATTTTATCTTGTTTACAATAAAACAATTATTTCTTACTTACATTAAACATTAATTCAGTTATTACTTTCGATTCAATAAAAAACACATCTAACTTAAAAAAACACAAAACTCGAATTTCCTACTTTTCTGCTGAAAATTGTTCCATTGTTTATATGATTTTTTTTTAGCTTTCTTGGTTTCCTATCACCCATATAAAAATTTCCCTCTAATTATGGGACACCTTGTATAAAGCGAAACAACGGAATAGAATATACTTTTATTGCGATCAGGGAAGTCCCCATACAATAGGAGTGCGTACATAAATCATATTTAATATACAATTTTCTAAAAAAAAACAAGATATATATATATATATATATATATATATATATATATATATATATATATATATATATATATATATATGAATACAATAAAAAATAAATTTAGCTACAATAAAAACGAATTAAAATAAATAATAATAATTAGCAAAAAATATATATCCATTGTTTAAGACTTCAATCATATTACATAAATAAAAATAAGAATAATAAATGATATATTAACTTATGAAAATATTATAATTTTATTGTTCTCATATATTTTAATATTATGTAATAAAACTTTTGTATCCAATTTTTTGTTTTGTCCCTTATTTTTATGGTTCTTTTGAAGAAAAGGATTGTTTAATACTGTTTTTAATTCGTCAATTCCAATTGTTATTTTAATTTTTATGTTTTTATTTTATAAAAAAAAAAAAATGGCCGCCTGCTTAAATCCTTCAAAGCCTACCCTAATTTAATTGAAGGGTCAGGTTAGACAGCTCTAGTTGAAGGACAGAACCCATAAAATACAAACATTTCAATAGGAAGTCTTTTTTTATTTCAATTTTTTCAAGGACTGTTAATATAAATTAAGTTTATATTATGCATTTCTTTTAGCTATTATACAATTAATAAATAAGATTTTATGCCAATTTAAAAAAAATGTGATAAATAAAATAGATCTATAGTTGGGATAGTTGTACGGAAGAAGTTTCATCATTGAATTTGAGATGGTTTTATTATTTTTATCGTTCTTTCCTCTCTTAATTGGAAAACCAGTGAGACAATTTTCGCTCATGATTCAATTTCACAAACTTCTCTAAAGAATAACTTACGTCTTTAATGAACGAAAAGACGGAAGGGAGTGAGTAATGAGCATACTTTTATTTTTCTGAATTTGAGCGGACTGTAGAATAGACTACCAGATGAATGAGAATATAATAAGGCTATATTATTTGCTTAAAAAAAAAAAAAAAAAAAAAAAGAAAAAGTGTAAATTATATATTTCAGCTAGAAATCAAAATGTTAGTAGTTAATGAAATTAAAAATAATAATTATAATTAATCAATAATAATTCACATTACTTATTACATAATATGTTGCATTTAATTAATTATATTATAATTTATTTGATTTGTATTTAGATTTTCTATTTTTTTTTTCATGTATTATATTTCAATTTTATCAAGGTAATTTGTTCGTGTCAACATGCTCATGTTTCATTGATCTCTTTCATTAAATTATTAAAAAAAGATTAATCATTGAAACAAATATGAAAACAATTTAATTTCTCTACTTTTTTGACAGGGAGGAGTTCTTTTGCTCCCTTTCTCCCCTCCATGGATCCACCATTTTATTAAATTCTTTCTCTTAAAAATAGTTTTTCTGTTTCCAGTAGACAACAATTTCTTT